ATTCTTAAAACTATGCATGACCCTACAAGTCTATCAAAATCAAAATGCTGCATTTGACTTACAGTTGCACAAATGAAATAACTTATTCAAAGTTTTATTTCACAATGGAATTTAAAACAAGAAAATCCCCACGTAGCAAAAGGGAAGAATAGTTAAAGCTGAGTTGAGTGTGAATTGAAGCCCAATAGCACGGACAGACTGACAACCAGCGGCTCAGATTAAGGATCAGGACTGAGTTTGCCAGCAGGAGCTGGAAGTGAGGCAAGTTTATGATAAAGGTACAAACAGAATTCCTTTAATAAAGCCATAACTAAGACATTTTGTGAACAGGAATTTAATGACGATAGATAGCTATACATATTTATTTACTGACCCAGGTATATAGTCCAGAGGGTGAATGCTTAGGCCAGGCCACTGATGGGAATAGAGTACCTATAAAAATCAGAACCTCAATTCTGTACCATGTGTCAACATAGAGATTCTGCTTCCAGTGCAGAAATATCAACCAAAATATAACAAACTCAGCTGGAATCAGTCCTCTAGGACCTGCGCCAACAGCAAAACCAAAGATGCCCTGCTGGAACTCTCACTGTACCTGAGAATATATTTAGTCTAACTGATTAAAGAGTACAGTTTCCCCATCAAAGAACTCAGAAAGGGGCCAATCCACTAAACTGTTTAAGCAAAGCAATTTCCTAATTTTAAGTTATGAAAATTGGAAGGGATGCAGAGATGACAGAGGAGTGCTGCAGAGCAGGGGACACGGGCTGACCCAGTGTGGAAGCAGCCTCCAGGAGGCTGGGGACCACAGTAATAGAATTCCTAGGATCATCAGTTTAAAATCAGCCAGGCCTCTGAAATGAATAATCTGAAATCGCAAATACATCCAGGAGAACAAGGCCTCTGGTGTCTCATTCACCGGCTGCATCTGAAAGAATGTTCCAGGCCTGAGCCCCAGGAGTGAAAAGGCGGAGTCCTGGTCCACATGAAAGTGATGCTTTCTGAAGAAAGGCTTCCCAGATGCTGGATTTACCCCTGGTGTGTGGGAGGCTGAGAGCCAGAAGATTCCAAGCGCACCCTCGTGTTCCTGGGAAAGCGGCGCTATCTCTAGATGAGAAGGCAACCAGATAGACTAACCGGACCCCACGTGTGTGACGGAGAGGTCAGACACAAGTCCATTCACTGCCTTTTTTGTTAGAACTACTCTAATGGAGCATTGATAAAGTTTGCCATGTTAACAAGAGAATTAAATTCAGTTACAAGCTATGCTCATAACAGAAAGGAAAAAAATTCACTTAGATTTTGGTGTCTTTTTATTACCACACATGAACTGTCAAATTATGTGTGAAAAGCTCCAAGATAATCCCAGAGCAGTGTTTTTGGCAAAATCAGTTAATAATTTGGCTCTCAAAATGTTCTGTCATCTTGGCTAACATTGCACCTTCCTGTACCTGGCAGGAATCCAAAATCTGAACCCAGAAATGCCCACATGGGGGTACTCACCACTCCTTAGGTCCTTCAGAATTGACAATATCCTGATAATCTACTTATTCACAAATCTCGAATAATAACTCACCACATGTACCTTCTCTTAGAAAGCAAACGATCAAAGTAGGGAGAAATTTAGAGCAGCAGTTCTCACCCCTGGATGTTTGTTAAAAAGCATATGGCGAGACCAGCTACTTCAGAGCAATATTGGCTAATAGAGCTAAATAATAAATACCCATTCTTGCTAGTCCAGCGGTTGGCAACACTAATTGCATATTGGAATCAATTGGGAAGCTTTTAGACATACTGCTGCCTGGGCCTCCCAATGAGTCCACTTAAATCAGAACATTTAGGGTTCTGGGTGCTAGGGCACTGATACATTTTTCAACCTCTTAGGTGATCCTCAGTGGAGCCAATGTTAAAAACAACTGCTCTAGCCCAGCGCTCTTCAGACTTCAGCAAGCACAGGGCTTCTGGAAAACTCTTAAACATGGACTTCAAATCAGATCTAACAGGGACAAAATGAGGCTGGGTGGTCGCCTTGGACCAGGGGACAGAGCACTGGTCAGTGACTGCTATGAGATTAGGATTTCATGGGGGCTCCTGAGAATGTTCTAAACTTCACTGCAGAGACCTGTTAATATATTCAAGGGCATTGAATTTTACACTTAACATGGGTAAATGACATGGACGTGAGTTATGTCTTAACAAAGTTGCTAACAGAGAGAGACAGAGAGACAGAGACTGTCTCACGCCTAGAGATTCCGATGCCCAAGATTCAGAGTGAAGTCCACCGATTTGTCTTTCTAGTGTATTGCTAACCCTGTAGGTCCAAAGAACACATTGTCCTAATCCAGGTAGAGCTTTACAGCATGCTAATTACTGCGTTCATTCTTCCATCCGCATGGCCAGTGAGTAGGCACACTTCCCATACACTGCCTCAGAGGTGTAGTCTGCAGTTTGCCGTCCAGATCATTCCTGCGTGCTCCTCCTTCCTGGTCAGGGCCTTTCCCATTCCTCCTGACCACAGGGATTTGGACGGCAGTCATATTGCCTGGATTATCTTGTAGAAGCAAGTACAGACAGCAAAGGGAAGACGTGATATGAAGCTTCAGGGAACCAAGAAGAGCCCGGAGCCGGAATGCTACTCCTGTCCAACCAGGCAGTACATGAGGCCTGGGGAGAAGAGTGCCCCACTCCTGGTTTTGTGATGTTTACATTCCAATGAGGATGAATGTTAAATACCAATATTTGAAAATCTAGATTTACAGAAAATGGAAAACAAGATGTTCCATTTATTTTCTGAAGCAATTCGTTCTCTGAGGTTCTTCAGAAAATTTAAATCACCATACAATGTTTTGCATGAGTTGCCCCACAGTATTCCACCAAAGCCAAGTTACACAAGATGCAAGAAAAGCAGAATCCGAAATTATGAACAACAGAAAATGGCAGTCACATGGGAGGACAGGTGCCTTCTGTGTGAATGCCAGTGTCACCAGCCGTTTTCCTTGGCCAACCTCAGACTCCACTGTGGCCATGCCCAGGGCTCTGGGCTCTCTGCTGGCAACCACCCACCCCAAGCACACACTGAGTGCTGGTTTCCTGCCTCTCATGCAGGCCTGAGCGAAACCTCCAACAACAGAACCCTTTTCCCAAGCACTGCTTCCCTTGTAGTTACTGGTAGGGCTGTCACTGCAGCTGCTGCCAGAAGTGGAAACAAAGGCACTGAGCTTTGAAACACAAAATCGGAACCAAAAAATGCCAGCATGGGGGTACTCACCACTCCTTGGGCCTTTCAAATGGAAAAGGTCCTGATAGTCTAATTATTCCTGATACTCCAATAATGTTACACAGCATAAAATTTCCTTTAGAAAGCAAAAGATCAAAGTATGCAGCAATTTAAATTATGAAAACTAAGTTTGGGGCTGGGGAGACAGCTCAGGGGTCTAAGCACCTGCCTGGCAAGTGCAAGGTCCTGAGTTCAATTCCTGGTACTCCATGCTGCGCCAGCCCAAAACCAGGCATACTGGTGCACACTTGTAATCCCAGCACTGGGAAGGATCACTATGAGTCTGCACTGCATAGTGAGACCCTGTATCAAATAAATAAAAAAATGAAAATATTTTTAAAAACTAAGTTTGGCCATGCTTTGAAATAATATCTATATAGATACATAGATA